CACAGATAACATTTATCGCAACCCCGAGCTGAGAGCCCGCGCCTGGGCTCCGCCTGTGCAGCCGGCTTCCCTGCTCTGTTACCTGGGAGCTCTGCCACACTCAGGCACCCCCGGTCTTTCTGTGACCCCGAGGGTCCTGAGACCACACTGTACCGGAAGGTTCCACCCCCCGCTTAGCCACCAGAGTGACGTCCCTCAGCGGAGCAGACTTTTAAAAGTTCCGATTTTGTGCTCCGCGGCTCTATCACTTGCCAGAAGTGGCCGACAGAGGCCCCTCCCCCGCCATCTATCCTCCCGAATATCACCTCAGATTCACTTCTCCGCACGTCCTACCTTCCAGAAAGTGGTTGCTTTTCTGTTCAGAGAGTTGTTGCTATTCCTGTCTTCGATCTCCTGTTGGGTTTGTAGGTGTTCAGAATGGTTTGATCCCTATCCAGCTGATTTCCTGAGAGAAGACGAAATCCAGGTCTCCTACTCCTCCGCCATCTTGCTCCCTATCACCTGTGATGTTAATTTTAACCATTCTGAAAGGTATGAGATGATATCTCATTGTGGTTTTGCTATTTATTTCCATGATGATGAGTGATGTTGAGCATCTTTTCATGTGCTTGTTAGCCATCTGAATGTATTCTTTGGAAAAGTGTATATTCATTTCTTCTGCCCATTTCTTAACTGGATTATTTGTTTTTGGGTGTTGAGTTTTATCAGTTTTTTATACATTTTGGATATGAACCCTTTATCAGATATGTCATTTGCAAATATCTTCTCCTATTCCAAAGGTTGCCTTTTAGTTTTGTTGGTTGTTTCCTTTGCTGCACAGGAGCATTTTATCTTTTTTAAAATATTTTATTTATTTATTTGACAGAGGGAGAGCAAGAGCGAGAGTGAGAGAGAGAGAGCATGAACAGCGGGTAGGAACAGAGGCAGAGGGAGAAGCAGACTCTCCATTGAGCAGGAATTCTGATGCAAGACTTGATCCCAGGACCCTGGGACCATGACCTGAGCAGAAGGCAGACGCTTAACCAACTGAGCCACCAGGCGCCCAGGAGCATTTTATCTTAATGAAGTCCCAATAGTTCATTTTTGCTTTGTTTCCCTTGCCTTTGGAGACATAATTAGTAAGAAGCAGCTATGTGAAATGTCAAAGAAGTTGTTGCCTGTGTTCTTCTCTTGGATTTTGATGGTTTCTTGTCTCACATTTTGGTTTTTCATCCATTTTGAATATATTTTTTGTGCATGGTATAAAAAGTGGTACACTTTCATTATTTAGGATGTTGCTGTCCATTTGTTGAAGAGACTCTCTTTTTTTCCATTGGATATTCTTTCCTGCTTTGTCGAAAATTATTCAACCATATGGTTGTGGGTCCATTTCGGGGTTTTCTATTCTGTTCCATTGATCTATGTGTCTGTTTTTCTGCCAGAACCATACTGTCTTCATGATTATAGCTTTGTAACATAACTTGAAGTCCAAAATTGTGATGCTTCCAGCTTTGCTTTTCTTTTGCAAGGTTTCTCTGTCTATTCCAGGTCTTTTGTGGTTCCATACAAAGTTTGGAATTATTTGGTCCAGGTCTGTGAAAAACAGTGGTGGTATTTTGATAGGGATTGCATTAAATGTGTAAATGGCTTTGGTAGTATAGACATTTTAAGAATATTTGTTCTTCTAATTCATAAGCATGGAATGTTTTTCCATTTTTTGTGTCCTCTTCAATTTCTTTCATAATTGTTTTCTCATTTTCAGAGTACAGATCTTTTACCTTTTTTTAGGTTTATTACTAAATATTTTCTTGTTTTGGTACAATTATAAATGGGATAAATTCCTTGATTTCTCTTTTTGCTTTCATTATTGTTGCATACAAATGAAATAGATTTCTATACATTGAATTTGTATCCTGTGACGTTACTGAATTTGTGTATCAGTTGCAGCAAATTTTGGTGGAGCCTTTTGGGTTTTCTACATAGAATATCATGTTGTCTGCCAATAGTGAACTTTTGACTTATTCCTTGCTGATTTCCATGCCTTTTATTTCTTTTTGTTGTCTGATTACTGTGGCTAGGACTTCCAGTACTATGTTAAATACAAAGTGTGAGAGTGGGCATACCTGTCTTGTTCCTGACCAAAAATTAAAGCTCTCCATTTTTCTCCATTGAGAATTATATTAGCTTTATGTCTTTCATATATGGCCCTTATGATGATGAGGTATGTTCCCTCTATCCCTACTTTGTTGAGGATTTTTTATTAAGATTGGATGATGTACTTTATCAAATGCTTTTTCTCCATCTATTTTCTGCATCACAAAGGATCATGTGGTTTTTATCCTTTCTTTTACAAATGTGGTACATCATATTAATTTGTGAATATTGAACCACACTGGCAGCACAGGAACAAATCCCACTTGATTATGGTGAAATATTCTTTTAATGTAATGTTGGATTCTATTTGCTAGTATTTTGTTGAGAATTTTTCCATCCATGTTCATCAAGGATATTGGCCTATAATTTGCTTTATTAGCGGTATCTTTGTCTGGTTTTGGAATAAAGGTAATGCTGGGCTCATAGAAAGAGTTTGGAAGTTTCCTTCCATTTCTATTTTTGGGGAACAGCTTGAGAAGAATAGGTATTAACTCTTTTTAAATGTTTGGTAGAATTCCTCTGTGAAGTCATTTGGTCCTGGACTTTTGTTTGTTTGGAGATTTTTCATTACAGACTCAAATTCTTTACTGGTTATCAGTGTGTCCAAGTTTTTTATTAGTTCCTATTTCAGTTTTGGTAGTTTGTATGTTTCTAAGAATTTGTCCATTTTTTCCAGATTGCTTAATTTGTGGGCATATAATTTTTCATCATATGCTCTTATTGTTGTTGTATTTCTGTGGTGTTGGTTGTGATCTCTCCTCTCTCATTCATGATTTATTTATTTGAATTCTTTATTTTTGATAGGGGTTTATCAATTTTATTAATTCTTTGAAAGAACAAGCTCCTGGTTTCATTAATCTGTTCATTTTTTTCTTTGTTTCTATATCATTTATTTCTCCTCTAATCTTTATTACTTTCCTTCTTCTGCTGACTTTAGGCCTCATTTTTTTTTTTTTCTTTTTCTAGCTCCTTTAGGTGTGAGGTTAGATTGTGTGTTTGGGATTTCTTGCTTCTTGAGGTAGGCCTGTGTTGCTATATTCTTCCCTTTTAGGATTGCTTTTGCTGCATCCCAAAGGTTTTGGACCATCATGCTTTCATTATCATTTGTTTCCATGTGTTTTTTTATTTCTTCTTTAATTTCCTGGTTGACCCATTCATTCTTTAGTAGGATGTTTATCAACCTCTATGTATTTGTGGGCTTTCCAAATGTTTCCTTGTGGTTGACTTCAAGTTTCATAGCATTGTGGTTGGAAAATATGTATGGTATGATCTCTTTTTGACTTATTGAGGCCTGATTTATGACCTAGTATTTGATCTATTCTGGTTAATGTCCCATGTGCACTTGAAAAGAATGTGTATTCTGCTGCTTTAGGATTAAATGTTCTCAATATGTCTGTTAAATCCATCTAGGCCAGGTTGTCATTCAAAACCATTTTTTACTTGTTGATTTTCTGTTTATGTGATCTGTCCATTAATATAAGTGGGTTGTTAAAGTTCCCCACTCTCATTGTATTATTATCAATGAGTTTCTTTATGCTTGTTATTGTTTCATATATTTGTGTGCTCCCAAGTTGGGGGTGTAAATACCTACAATGCTTAGATCTTGTTGGATAGACACCTTTATTATGATATAGTGCCCTTCTTCATCTCTTATTACCATCTTTGGTTTAAAATCTAGTTTGTCTAGTATAAGTATGGATACTCTGGCTTTCTTTTGACATCCATTTGTATGGTAAATATTTCTCCATCCCCTCACTTTTGATCTGCAGTTGTCTTTACATCTCAAATGAGTCTCTTGTAAGCAGCAAACAGCATATAAGTGGATCTTGTTTTCTTATCCATTCCTACAACCTATAATTTGCAGAGCTGGTTTAGTGGTCATAAACTCCTTTAGCTTCTGTTTGTCTGGGAAACTCTTTATCTCTCCTTCTATTGTGAATGACAGCCTTGCCTAATAGATTATTCCTGGTTGCATATTTTTCCCATCAGAATGTTGAATATATCATGCCACTTACTTCTTGCCTATCAGGTTTCTGTGGAAAGATCTGCTGCTAAACTTATTTGTCTTCCCTTTCAAGTAAGGGGCTTCTTTTGTCTTGTTGTTTTTAGGATTTTTTTCATTATCTCCATATTTTGAAAATGTAACTATGATATGGCTTAGTGTTGGTCTGCTTTTGTCAATTTTAATGGGAGTTCTTTGTGCCTCTTGGATTTGGATGTCTGTTTCCTTCCCCAGATTAAGAAAGTTTCCAGCTATTATTTCCTCAAATAAACCTTTTATTCTCTTTTCTCTCTCTTCTGCTGTGACTCCTATGATATGAATGTTATTATGCTTTATGGAGTCACTGAATTTCCTTAGACTACATTTGTGATCTAATATTTTTCTTTCACTCTTCTTCTCAGCTTCATTATTTTCCATAATTTTATCATCTATATCACTTACTAGTTCTGCTTCTTCCATCCTTGTGGTCATTACATATAGTCAGTTTTGAATCTTAGGTATTGCATTTTTCGTTTTGTCCTGACTAGTTTTTAGGTCTTATATCTCTGCAGCAAAAGATGCCCTGGTGTTTTCTATGCTTTTCTCAAGCCCATCTAGTATCCTTATGATGTCGCTTTAAGTTCTGGATTAGGCATATCATTTATATCGCTCTTGGTTACATTCCTGGCCATGACCTTTTCTTGTTTGTTCTATTGGATGAATTCCTCCATCTTGGCATTTTGTCTAAGTATCTGTCTTTTATGTGTTAGGAAAACAAGTTATGTTTCCTGTGCCTGAGAGTAATGTTTTTTTGTTTTTTTTTTTTTAAGATTTTGTTTATTTATTTGACAGAGAGAGAGAGCACAAGTAGGCAGAGTGGCAGGCAGAGGGAGAGGGAGAAGCAGGCTCCTTGCTGAGCAGAGAGCCCAATGGGGGGCTCAATCCCAGGACCCTGGGATCATGACCTGAGCCAAAGGCAGCTGCTTAACTGACTGAGGCATTCAGGTGCCCCATGAGAGTAATGGTTTAATGAAGAAAACATCATATACTGTCCAGGGCCTGGCTCTTCAGGAACTGTCTCTGGGGTATGCTGTGTGAACTGTATTGCTGTGTTTTGGTTGCTTTTTCCCTCAGGTCAGTCCTCTGCAGAGTTTCTCCTTGCCTGAAGTGGGCAGTGTTTGGGCCTTAGCAGGAGTGTGGTAAGTTTTAACTGGGTGTGTTCTAGTCTGCTTGTTAAGAGAGACCTGATGTTATTTCTACTAGAGCTGATGTTTTGCACAACTCTGGTTTGTAGACATGGTGTGTGACGTTTTTGTTGGTCTTCTGGAGGAGGTGCTCCTACTCTGGTTCTTAGACACACTTGCATGAAAAATGCATAGTGCAGGGGCGATGGTGTAAGGGATTTAGGCCACCACTTTTGACACTGTGCTGCTTCCTAAAGTTAGTTTATGCTGAGGGGTAAGGGAGGGAAATGGCATCATTCTGCTCCTTTGTCCCTGGAGTGGGGAGTTTGTGCCTGCTGCTGTCCAAGAAGGTCTCCAAGAAGAGGGAACAATCTCTCCTCATGTGTTCCGGGTGTCCCTAAGATCTCTGCCTTCATCCTGTCTGTGTCTGAACCATCTCCCTGCCTGGCAGCTCAGTGTATCTGTATTCTATCCCAGTCAGCCCGGCTGAGTTTTAAAATTCCAAACTTCAGGGACCTGGTGTGGCGTGGACCCCAACTGGTCCTCTGGGGAAGGGTCTCACCATGCTGGAACTGATATTGGTTTTTACCAGAAATGTAGTTGCACCAATGTTCAGGGGTATGGAGTTTGGAGTAAGCACAGCCAAGAGCCAATGTCCAGGTTAGCTGCCCTCAGCAGGTGTCTGTGAGCTTATGCTGGGGAGTGGATGGGTAATGGCTCTTGCAGTCTCTTTTGTTCCTGCAGAGGCAACGCCACATTTCCCAGATGCACTCCAAGAAGGGTGAACTGCCTCTCCCAGTGCATCCCATTGTATCCTCAGATCTTGCTGTTTGCTTTTGAGCTATCCAACCTCCTTCTCCACAGGAGAACTGCATCTTCCTTAGAGTTCCACACCAGTCATGCCGTGGATCTCCAAAACTCCAGTCTTTGAGCCCTGCTGGTTGTAAAACTCATGAAAATCACACCCTCTCATGTTCCTAGTCAATGGCATTGGGGAAGTGTTCTCTCTCTCCTTCTCACCTCTCTCTCTGACCAGCGCCCTCTCCCTGCTGCAGCACCCATGATCCATTTCTTCCCCAAATCATAAGCAATACCTCAAGAAGGAAGAAAAATCTGAAATTAGCAACCTAAACTTACACCTAAAGGAACTACAAAAAGACCAACAAACAACTTAAAACCAGCAGAAGGAAGAAAATAACAAAGATTGGCAAAATAAATAAATGATCTAAAAACAAAACCAAACAATAGAACAGATCAGTGAAACCAAGAGCTTTTTCGTTAAAAAAAATCAAAATTGATAAACCTCTAGCCAAACTTATCAAGAAAAATAAAAGAGATTCAAATGCATAAAATCACAAATGAGAGGAGAAATAACAACCAACATTGCAGAAATGCAAACAGTTATAAGAGAATATTATGAAAAACTCTATGCCAACAAATTGGACAACCCGGAAAAAAATGAATAAATTCCTAGAAACATATCAAGTACCAAAACTGAAACAAAAAGAAATAGAAAATTTGAACAGACGGAAAACTGACAAAAAAAATGAATCAATAATCAAAAATCTCCCAACAAACAAAAGTCCAGGACCAGATGGCTTCACATGTTAATTTTATCTAACACTCTATGAAGAGTTAATGTGCATTCTTCCTAAACTATTCCAAAAAATAGAAAAGGAAGAAAAACTTCCAAATTCATTCTATGAGGACACCATTACCCTGACACCAAAACCAGATAAAGACTCCACTAAAAAGAAAACTACAGGTCAATATCCCTGATGAAGATGGATTAAATAAATAAATAAATAAATAAATAAATAAAATAAAGTGCTAGCAAAATGAATTCAATAATACGCTAAAAAATAATTCACCACAATCAAGTGGGATCTGTTCCTGGTATGAAAGGTTGGCTCAATATTCACAAGCTAATCAATGTGATACATAACATCAATAAGGGATAAGATAAGAAATATATGACCCTGTCTATAGATGGGGGAAAAAAAGCATTTGAGAAAGTACATCCATTCAAATTAAAAAACCCTCAACAAAGTAGGTTTAGAGGGAACATACCTCAACATAATAAAGGACATTCATTTATTTTTTGAAGATTTTGAGAAGATTTTATTTGAATTCCAGATAGTTAACATACAGTATAATATCAATTTCAGTTGTACAATATAGTGATTCAACACTTCCATTCAACAGCCGGTACTCATCACAACAAGTGCTCTACTTAATCCCCATCACCTATTTAAACCATCCTCTCACCCACCTACCCTCTGGTAACCAGCAGTTTTTCCTCTATAGCTAAGACTCTGTTTCTTGGTTTGCTTCCCTCTCTTTCTTCACTTTGCTCCTTTGTTTTGTTTCTTAAATTCCACATATGAGTGAAATCATATGGTATTTGTCTTTCTCTGATTGACTTATTTCACTTAGCATAATACTCTCCCTCCATCCATGTGGTTGCAAATGGCAAGATTTCATTCATTTTTATGGCTGAGTAATATTCCAGTGTATATATATCACCTCTTCTTTATCCATTCATCAGTTGGTGGACATTTGGGCTGTTTCTATAATTTGGCTATTGTGGATAATGCTGCTATAAACATTGGGGTGCAAGTATCCTTTTGAATTAATATTTCTGTATTCTTTGGGTAAATACCTTATAGTGCAATTGCTGGATCATAGGGTATTTCTATTTTTAACTTTCTGAGGAGCCCCCATACCATTTTCCAGAGTGACTACACCAGTTTGCTCTCCCACCAAGAGTGCAACAAGGTTTTTTTGTGGGTTTTTTTTTTTTTTTTTTTTTTTAATCTATGAAAACACCTATTGTTTCTTGTGTTCTAGATTTTAGTCATTCTGACAGGTGTAAGGTGACATCTCATCATGGCTTTTATTTGTATTTCCCAGATGATGAGTTATGTTGAGCATCTTTTCATATGTCTGTTGGCCATCTGGATGTCTTCTTTGGAAAAGTGTCTATTTATGTCTTCTGCCTGTTTTTTCATTGAATTATTCATTTCTAGAGTATTGAGTTGTATAAGTTCTTTACGTATTTTGGATACTAATATATGACATTTACAAATATCTTCTCACATTCCATAGGTTACCTTTTAGGTTTGTTGACTGTTTCCTTTACTGTGCAGAACTTTGTATTTTGATGAAGTTCCAGTAGTTTATTTTTTCTTCTGTTACCCTTGACTCAGGAGACAAATCTAGAAGGAAGTTGCTAAGGTCAATGTCAAAGAGGTTACTGCCTTTGTTCTCCTCTAGGAATTTTATGGTTTCAGGTCTCACATTCAGATCTTTAATGCATTTTAAATTTATTTTGTATATGGTGGAAGAAAGCGGTCCCATTTCATTCTTTTGCATATTTATGCACAGTTTTCCCAACACCATTATTTGAAGAAATGGTCTTTTTCTCATTGAATATTCTTTCCTGCTTTGTGGAAAATTAATTGACCATATAGTTGTGGGTATGTTTCTGGGTTTTCTATTCTATTCCATTGGTCTGTGTGTCTACTTTTGAGCCATTATAATACTGTTTTGTTCACTACAGTTTTGTGGGGGTTTTTTGTTTTTGTTTTTGTTTTAGATTTTATTTATTTATTTGACAGAGAGAGAGACAGCGAGAGGGGCACACAAGCAGAGGGAGTAGGAGAGGGAGAAGTAGGCTTCCCGTCAAGCAGGGGGCCCAATGTGGGGCTCGATTCCAGGACCCTGGGATCATGACCTGAGCCAAAGGCAGATGCTTACTGACTGAGCCACACAGGCGCCCCTCACTACAGCTTTGTAATGTAACTTGAAGTATGCAATTATGATTCTTCCAGATATGGTTTTAGTTTTCAACATTGCTTTTGTTATTTGGGGTCTCTTCTGGTTCCATACAAATTTTAGCTCTGTGAAAATTGTGTGTTCTAGCTCTGTGAAAAGTGCTGTTGCTATTTTGATAGAGATTGTTTTAAATGTGTAAATTGCTTTGGGTAGTATGGACATTTTAACAATATTTGTTCTTCCTATCTGAGCATGTAATTTTTTTTTTCTATTTCTTTGTGTCATCTTCAGTTACTTTGAAGAGTTTCAGAATATAGGTCTTTTAATGCTTTGTTAAGTTTATCCCTTGGTATCTTATGCTTTTTGGAGCAATTGTAAATGGGACTGAACACTTAATTTATCTTTCTGCTTCTTCATTATTGGTGTATAGGAATACAACAGATTTCTGGATGTTGATTCTGTACCTTTGACTTTATTGGATTTGTGTATCTGTTCTAGCAGTTTTTTGGTGGAGTCTTTTGGGTTTCTTTATGGAGTATCATGTTATCTGAATATAGTGCAAGTTTAACTACTTTTTTGCCGATTTGGATGCCTTTTATTTCCTTTTTTAAAAGATTTTATTTATTTATTATTTATTTATTATTTATTTATTTATTATTTGAGAGAGAGACTGAGCCTTTTGACAAGTGTGAGGTGATATCTCATTGCAGTTTTGATTTACATATCCATAATGATTAATGATATTGAGCATCTTTTCATGCGTCTGTGGGATACCTGAATATCTTCTTTGAAGAAATGTCTATTCAGGTCTTCTGCCCATTTTTAATTGGATTGATTGTTTTTTGATATTAAGTTGTTTGAGTCTTTTATATATTTTCAATATTAACCCCTTACTGGTTGTATCATTGGGAAATATCTTCTCCCATTCAGTGTGTTGCCTTTTCATTTTGTTGATGGTGTCCATCACTGTGCAAAAGCTTTTTGTTGTTGTTGTTAAAGCTTCTTAGTTTGATGTAGTTTTATTTATATTTTGCTTTTTGTTGCCCTTGTCTGATGAGACAGAGCCACAAAAATATTGCTCAGACTTACATCCAGGAGTTTATTGTTTATGTTTTCTTCCAGAT